GGACACGGTTTAGTGGTGGGATGGCAGGGTTAGGTTAAAGGTTGGACTCGATGATCTCAAAGGTCTTTTCCAACCAAAGTGATTCTGTGATCCTGTGATTCTATGCCAAGATGCTTGGCCAAACACACAGCTGCTGCGGCAGCTCTGACCTCCCGTGGATTCTCCCCTGCAGGGTGGTGAACCAGGATGAGAAATCGTTTGCCATTGGAGTCCAGTTCTTACTAATGAGGCTGCTGGGTGAGTGTACATCTCCTAACGAAGCTGGGGGAAGGCAGCAGGATGCTCAAAGGCTTGCTTGAGCCCCGGGAGGTGCTGAACCTCCTTGGGGACAGCAGGCCAAGCCTACAAGCAGGGCAGGGTGGGCAGCCTGATTCCATCTTCTCTTCTCCAAAGCCTGGCTGCCAGCTCCAGCCATGTTTGGTGCCCTCATCGACTCCTCCTGCATCTACTGGCAGAAGCAGTGCACCCAGCGCCGGTTCTGCGCCTACTACAACAACGACTTCCTCCGCAACAGGTAACCCTGCTGTGCATCCCCCATGGCAAGGATGACCACAGGGACGGTCCCCAGCTCAGCCTGGTGCCGGCTGGAGGTGCCACCTCCCAACATGGCATCTCCTCGCTCTTCTCCCAACAGATACCTGGGGCTGCAGGTGGGCTACAAAGTGGTGGGCACCATCCTCCTCGCCCTCATCAGCTGGAAGGTGAAGAGGAGTAAGGAGTACAATGTGCAGGAGAAGGCAGCGGCACTGGTGTAGCCTGAGGACTGACTCCGCACCCCCCCCCGCACCCACTGCCAGTACTTTGTCTTTTTTGGGTTTGTTTTTCCTTCTAAAGGAGCGACTTCACCTCAGCAGCTCTGAGCTCCTCTCCCGCACCGACGGCACCGCTGTGCTCCAGGAAAGGGATGCTCCATGCCAGCCCCGTCCTGGGACCAGGCTCTGCAGCGGTGCCTCACCCATTGGTTTGGGGAGGGGGCAGGCCCTCCCCAACCTGGAGCAGGAGGCAGAAGGGGGTTGGAGCCCCCGTATACCCATCCCACATACCCGGAGAAGTGCCTGCGGTGGGCGATGGTCCTCCCTCCGGTGTGGCGTTTCCAGATGGGTTGTGCCCACCCAGCTGGGACAGGAGCAGGGGAGACGGCTGCCAACCCTGCAGTGCTGCCCTGTGTCCCCCCCCCCCCTGAAAGGCGGTGGGGGTGCCAGCAGGTCGCACCCTGGCAGATGAGATGGTGGCAGATGGGGGGCATGTGCTCCCTTGTGGCTCTCCCACTGATGAGGGGCTGTGTGGAATGGGCAGCCTGTGCCAGCCCATGGGCCAAGGCGGGGGGGGCAGCAGTGCCTGCCTGCAGCTCTATGAAACCTGCTGGTACCCCAAGCCCACAGCACCCTGCCTCCATCAGCCTGCTTAGTCCATCCTGCACCTTGCTTGCAGTCCTCTGCACCCTGCTTAAATCATCCTGCACCCTGCAGGCAGCCCCATGCCAAAAGGTGCCCGCACAATTCAGCACCCTGCAGGCAGGGGGC